CATGTTGTTCATGACTTAGATGTATCTACAGTTACTTATCTAGGTAATGTGTATATGTTGGTTGATTGCTGATTAATGATACTAAGGTCTTGGGTGTTGCTAACTGTGAAGAGGATGCTGCTGCTTTACAAAAGGATTTAGATCATTTAGTAAGTTGGGCAAATAAATGGCAGATGGCTTTTAATTATAATAAATGCAAGCTAATGCATGTGTGTTATCATAATTTGAATGGGGATAACCTTAACAGTGTTATGAAAGAAAGGGATCTTGGTGTAATAGTCAATCAGTCTCTAAAGCCATCCAAGTAATGTGCTGTTGCTAGTTGTAGGGCAAATAGGATTTTAGGCTGTATCTACAGAAATATTTAATACAAGTCTAAAGAGGTTATAATTTCAATGTATGGGTCACTGGTTAGGCCACATTTGGAATATTGTGTTCAGTCTTGGGCTTCTTATCTTAGGAAAGATATTGAATTGTGGGAAAGGGTTCAGAGGGTTATTAGAATGGTGGCTGGGTTGGTGGGGTTGTCATATGAGGATTGATTAATATTGCTGAAATTGTTTTATCTTGAAAAAAGAAGGGTTAGCGGGGATCTGATTGAGACATTTAAGATCGTAAAGAGGAATTGATTGTGTTGATTCATCATTTTTCGTACTAAATGGTGAAAATGGAGACACAAATATAAATTTTGGCAGGGTAGGAGTCTTCTTCAGATAAGACAGTTTTATTTTTCTAATAGGGTGATTGGCCTCTAAAATAGTTTGCCTTCGGACGTTTTGGAGGCTGGGAATTTAAGAGAAAGCTTGATAAATATATGAATAATAAGGGCTGGCTGTAAGAGTTTAGTTTAGAGGATGGGACAGTCCAGATGGACCAACAGGTTCCTTGTCCCTGAGCATTATGTTACATATTATTATGCTTTGGTTGATAAGTTGTTTTAACATTTGATTTTCAGTTATGTTTTCTGTGGTTCTGTTGGTGCAGTTCTTCAAGCAAGATAAATTGAAATGTGCAGAAGTTATATGTGGAGTACATCACTAGACATCCTTGGATCTGTTCTGATTTGAACATCCATTTCATAATAGTTTTTTGCTTGTGATATTGTATTTGTGAAATTTGTTTATTCAGTATCATTCTTTATTGTGAATTATACTTTTGTTGTGTAACATGAAACAAGTTAGGCTAAACACTTATTTTAGTTCATCCAATCTGATATTTGTATATGAACAGAACCTCTATTAGCACTTCAGTTGTTGTCATGATGATGCAATGATACTATATTGTTGTCTATATATTAGTTTGTATGCATATATATATATATATATGTGTGTGTTTGTAGTAATAAATCTAGAGAATAGTGTCAGATTAATATTTATCCATATGCCTTTTAGTTAATTAAACGTTTTGTTTTTGTTTTTTCCAGTTATGATAGTTATTATTTTGTTCAATTTAAAACTTTTTTGTGTACAGATAAAACTATTATGCAGAGAAATATTCAAATTTTGGTGGCCGAGAGTGGTCACAGTTAACTCTGTTGGCGATTCTACTGTGAGCTGTCCATGTACACCAATAGTTACCGAGTCAACTGACGACTTCATGAAAAGGTGTACCGTTGGTGAGTTGGTGTATTATATTGAATCTTGAGTTGGAAAATTATACATTATTTATGACTAAAAACTGAAATAATTAAAAACAATTTATAAAATGATGTTTTGTTAACCTGACATCATCTACATCCAGTTCTTTTCTTTCATAGAAATTTTAGTTTGTATTTTCTCTTCATTAGTTTTGGGAAATATGCATGAGTAAGTATCAACTTATTGTAAATTTCAGACTTGTAATGAAATGTTGGTAATAAAAGGATATTAAAATACTCAGTAGTTTTATGAAATATGAATTAACATACATCTTTTTTGTAAAGATTAATTTTATATAAAATAATGTGTTAATTGATAAAAGGATTTTTTAGCTATTGATAAAAATCAATAGTTTTGTGAAATATGAATAAATATCAACAGACTATTTTATTAAACTAGCATTGAGTATTAATTCTATTCATCAACAGTGGCCTTGCTTAACCCCATGATCTCAGCTCAGTCAAAGTGTGCATGTCATGACCTCTTGCAGAGTTACAATGACATTTTAATTCAACAACTTTATTATCAGTGTATGCTAATAAACTTGGCATTGTAAAGTAATTTAAGTTATGCTTGCTAATGATCTACCACTGTGATTTATTAAAAATATGGCCTAGAACAGTTATGGTTGTGCTTGCCAATGATCTACCACTGTGCTTTATTGCTGTTTGATGGTAGGGTTACTGTTCAAGTGAGTATGAACTGCAGCAATGAAATTAAAGAAAACAGATGTAAAAAGGTTAAAAGTTGAAACTGTGAAGATAAGAAGGCTGTTAATCCAATGAAACCCATTTAAAGGAGGATAAAAGGGTATTTATTGTTTATTCTATTTTATCATTACACTTTACTGCTACTGTGAATGTTATGGTACAGAAAATAACAGGTGAAATATTGTTTAACCAAAAAATCTTTTGATATTCATTTAGAAGGTTCTAGTGGCTACTTCTAGTGGTACAACAGACTTGTAATGTTTACTAGAAGCTTGCCAAATTTCATGAAGATACACTCCGTAAATACAGAATTATAACAAACAAGGTGAGTGAATCTATTTGTTTGTGTTAATGGATACAGGAGAAGAAGGATTTTACTGGGAATTTGTTACATACCACCAGACGAAACTGATGAAGTTAATTAGAAACTACAGCAGGGAAATTAGGATATCAGCTGTTAATGAGTTCATAATTATGGGTGACTTTAATTTCTGTCATACAGATTTTGATATGTCATAGTCAAATCAGGAAGGAGACAAGTTTTTTAGAAACTTTCTTCACTAATTGGTCAGAGAGCCTACAAGGAACATTGCTATTTTATATTTATTGATAATATATAATGTAGAAATGGTTGAGAGGGTGGAGATTGGGGAACATCTATGTGCAAGTGATCATTGTTCAATTAGGTTTGATGTTTTAATGCATGTGGTGATCAGAAATAGTGAGATTTGGGCTAGAACTTTCAAAAAAGCAAGTTCTGAAGAGATCTGATGAAAATTATCTGTTGTGGATTGGGCAATTGAATTAATTAAAGACATTGATCAGATGTGAAAAACTTTTATTAAAAAGAAATTTTTAAGTATTCAAGATAGACATGTTTGTTATAGAAAAAACGGGTAGCTGTTAGCGGTGTAAGCAAAATGTTAAGATGGAAGAAGAGCCTTTAAGGAATGATAAAGGAAAGATGATATCTGATAACTATGGGATAGATGGGTCAGTAAAATCTTTGTTATCAATACTTAATAATGAAGATTTAAATCCTGAACAGTTAGAAAGACAGAAAAACAACATACACACATTAATTCTGAGCTTATTAAGAAAAAGTTGGGAGGGTTAAAGACTTGTAGGGCTTCTGGACCAGATAATATTGCAACTTGTTACTATTTCTTGTAAGTCTTTGAATAGTGGACAGGTGCTATAGGACTGGAAGTTGAATAATGTTACTCCTCTTTTCAAAGGAGGTGATAAATATTGTACCAGTAATTATAGGCCTATCAGTCTTACATTAATGATGGGAAAAGTTTTTGAGTCTGACAAAGGATGCTTTTGCAAAGACATTTAACAAAGTTTACAATTTTGTTGAATAGTCGACATGGTTTCACTTGGGGGAAATCTTGCCTTACTAATCTTTGACATTTTTTGAAGAGATTTCTGCTTATGTGCATGACGGTAACGATGTGAATTTGGTATGTCTAGATTTTCAGAAAGCATTTGATGAGGTGTAACATCAAAGGATTGTTAAATATGATTTCTATAGGTACGGGAGGATAAGTTGGCTCATTGGATAGAAAAGTGACTGAATGGAATAAAGCAGAAGGTTGTCTTCTTAATTTACATCAATAACATAGATAAAGGAATGGTCAATAATAACTTAGATTTGCTTATGTTGTTAAGATCTTGGGTGTTGCTGGCTGTGAGGAGGATACTGCTGCTTTACGAAAGGATTAACATACTTTGTGAGTTGAGTGAATAAAGGACAGATAACTTTTAATTATACATAATGCAAGGTAATGCATATGTGTTATCATAATATAATTATAAGTTTGATAATAAAAATGTTGAAAATTACTGATCACCTCTAGTTTTCGAGTTATGTTAGATTTATTCAAAATATTCTTATATATCATGAAAATAAGTTTTTCTTTAATAACTTTATTTATTCATTGAAAATTGCATTTATAAATGTATAATCTGCATGCTTCGATAAGTTTCTTTCATGTTCACAGCATGAGCAACAGGAACCAATGGCTTAATATTCACATTGTGCAAAAGGACAGCTTTCAGACTAACTTTAGATGGGTTGATGAAAAGTGTCCATTCTTCAACTTTAGATGAGTCGATAAAAAGTGTCCATTCTTCAACTTTAGATGAGTCGATGAAAAGTGTCCATTCTTCAACTTGAGATGAGTCGATAAAAAGTGTCCATTCTTGAACTTTAGATGAGTTAATATAAAGTCTCCATTCTTGAACTTTAGATGAGTTAATATAAAGTCTCCATTCTTGAACTTTAGATGAGTTAATATAAAGTCTCCATTCTTGAACTTTAGATGAGTTAATATAAAGTCTCCATTCTTGAACTTTAGATGAGTCGATAAAAAGTCCATTCTTGAACTTTAGATGAGTTAATAAAAAGTCTCCATTCTTGAACTTTAGATAAGTTAATAAAAAGTCTCCATTCTTGAACT